TCTCATCCACGCCTCCTTGACCTGACACAACCTGTCCATCTTCTCTCTAACCTATCCACCCCACCAATCCCACTGACAATCCTCACCACTCCCTATTTGCATTCACCTATCACCATCCTACTACCTTCCCCAAACCCCGCCCTCCCAGCTCCCTTCCACCTCCCCATTTCTGAAGAAAGGTCCTGACCCGAAATGTCAACTTTCTTGCTCCGCTGATGCTGCCTGGCCTGCTGTGTTCCTCCAGCTCCACACTGTGTTATCTTTGAATTTATAGAACCCATCTTTATAAGCTATGGTGTTATGTTAGTGGGCTTGCTTCATTTAACTCAATGGTAAAGTTTATTTTTATTTGGAAACATGAAATCTTTCAGTTTGGTCAGTTCAGTTTGGGCTGTTTCCATTTCTCCTTTAGGTTTTAATGGCTCCTCAGCAAGATGGGTAGGTTACATCCTTGAAGCAGCACTGACATGTAATGCAGATCACATCCAGTCTTCCTGTCCGAGAGCAAGCCACCACAGGGAGGTGGCTGGTTCACAGAAGGACCAGTGAGCCATGCTGGCTTTCTGTGGGGCAATCCAGTCACATACTTAGTCCCTGGACCCTCTGCAAGTTTATTTATTTCACGTACCCATCAATCATCAATCATCTCAGCTTCCACCACCCTGATCAGCAGCAACTTGCAGTACTTTTCACTGCGTAAAAAACAAATTCACCCTCACATTCCACCCTATCGATAGTCAAACAGCACAGAAACAGACCCTTCAGTCAAACTGCTCCAGGCCAACCAGACATCCCAATCTGAACTAGTCCCATTTGCCAGTATTTAGCCCATTTCCCTCTAAACCCTTCCTATCCATATACCCATCCAGATGCCTTTTAAATGTTGTAATTGTACCCACCTCCACCACTTCCTCTGGCATCTCATTCCATACATGCACCACCCTCTGTGTGAAAAAGTTGCCCCTTAGGTCCTTTTTAAATCTTTCCTCTCTCACCTTAAACCTATGTCCCTCTAGTTTTGGACTCCCCTACCCTGGGGAAAAGACCTTGGTAATTCACCCTATCCTCATGATTTTATAAACCTCTATAATGTCATCCCTCAGCCTCCAACATTCCAGGGAAAATAGCCCCAGCCTATTCAGCCTCTCCCTATTGCCCAAACACGGCAACATCGTTGCAAATCTTTTCTGCACTCTTTCAAGTTCAACAACATCCTTCCTAAACCAGGGAGACCAGAACTGAACGCAGCATTCCAAAAGTGGCCTAACCAATGTCCTGTAAAGCCGCAATGTGACATCCCAACTCTTATACTCAATGCGCTGACCAATAGAGGCTGCCATATTTTGCCAAAACATTAATTCTCCGCTCTCCACAATTTTAGAACCAGCTAATGGGAATCATTTTTACCAGTCTATCTTATCCAACCCTGTCATAGCCTTGTACACCCTTACCCACTGGTCTAAGGAGAACAACCCAAGACAAACACAGATAATGCCAGGGACAACAGTCTGAAGAAGAGTCATATCGGACTCAAAACGTGAATTTGTTTCCCGCTGTACAGATGCTGCCAGACCTGCTGAGCTCCTCCAGCATTTTCTATGTTTGTTACTGCATCCACAGCATTTTGCTTTTATTTGAGAACTACCCCAGTTTCTCCAACAGAACTTCATAGCTGAAGTCCCTCACACCTCTGTCCTTTCTGGTATATCTCCTTGGCACACTATCAAGAAGCCTCATGTCATTCCCAAGGTCCATAGCCCAGTCCAACATGCAAGGCTACCTTGTATCCATTGACTCCACCTGCACTTCTCACTGCCTCAGGAAGGCAGTCAACATAAGCAAAGACCCCTCCCACCCCTGTTACAACCTGTTCTGACCTCTTCTGTCAGACAGAAGATTGAAAAGCTTAAACACATACACCAACAGATTCAAGAACAGCTTCTTCCCCGCTGTTACTACACTTCTGAAAGAACCTCTCAAATTTTAAATTTAATGTTGAACTTGCTCTTTGTGTACCTTCTCTGCAGCCATAACATTGCATTCCTCGCTCTGTCCTATTACTCTAATGAACTTTGTATGGTATGATCAACCTGTACTGGACACAAAACAAAACTTTTCACTGTAACTAGGCACATGCGACAATAATAAATCAAATCCTATCAAAAAGTTGGAATTGGACAGCTACGTTCAAACTCCAGCACAAGCTAAAGGTTAGATCTGATATCTTGATGCGCTATGAAGTTCAGTACCTGATCGGCACTGGAATATGAAGCATAATGAAATGTCCAATACAGAGTCGTACTGCAAAGAAATAGACCCTGTGGTCAAACTCATTCATGCTGACCAGACATCCCAATCTGAACTAGTCCCATTTGGCAGCATTTGGCCCGTATCCCTCTAAACCCTTCTTATTCATGTACCCATCCAGATGCCTTTTAAATGTTGTAATTGTACCAGCCTCCACCACTTCCTCTGGCAGCTCATTCCATACACGCACCACCCTCTGTGTGAGAAAGTTGCCCCTTAGCTCCCTTTTAAATCTTTCTCCTCTCATCTTAAACCTATGCCCTCTAGTTTTGAACTCCCCTACCCTGGGGAAAAGACCTCGCCTATTCACCCTATCCATGCCCCTCATGATTTTATAAACCTCTATAAGGTCACCCCTCAGCCTCCAACGCTCCAGGGAAAATAGCCCCAGCCTATTCAGCCTCTCCCTATTGCCCAAACCCAGCAACACCCTTGTAAGTCTTTTCTGCACCCTTTCAAGTTCAACATCTTTCCTATAGCATGATATGAATATGAAGCATAATGAAATGTCCAATATGTTTCTTATCTTGGTAAAATTTGAATTATCATTGAAGCTATTCAAACTGAAGTTGGAGTCAGAAAGCAGTGTGCAATGGTCTCACACAAAACCACTTCACATGGATGCAAGAATATACTAGCATCCTACTCTCAACCCAACAAACACAATTCAGGTCACAATTATTACTGATCCATTCCCGCAGGTCACAGAGATCCAGGATTATCCGACTGAAGTGATCAAAACATTCCGGATTCATAAATATGACAGGAAGTGTAATGTTTTGGACAGCAGGGTTATCGAACGAATGGAAAGGTGGGATAGAAAGGTTTCAGATGTTTTCAGCACCTGCCAGGTCAGGGGTTGGGTTCACCCCCAACAGAGAGGTCAACCCTCATCAAGTGGGGAAAGGCAAAGGGTCTGATTAGTGTTGAGGC